AAACCACCTTCCTAGGTTTCTTTATCTATCCCCTAAAACGACCCCGCGGGCGTGCGTGCGTGCGTACGGGCGGCGGGCGTGCCACGTTGAGCGACACCAACTGACTAGTTTTCCTAAACCGACTGCTCCAGCAGAATAACCACTGAATCCTACTGACCAATCAGAACCTTCACCCACTTATTTATAAAGTCAGATAGTCTGCAAATTATGCCGCTTCTCTTCGGGCCTCAACAGTATTACCAGACACCCAGCCTTCTGTCGTACATTCTCCTTTTTACTACAGTTCAAACCATCCATGAGCGATCAACCTTCGCTCACATGACACAGATGATGATGATGGCTCTCGAGCCGCCCTTTCTAATATATCCCCGGTCACCACGCCGCCTTCCTAGGTTTCTTTATCGCAAGTCTAAAACGGCTCCCCTCTGCCGCTTTTAACTGCCACCTATAAGTCGCTTTTCATATCCCTTAAATTGTTGTAACATATATATCCCCCGCTAACCAACAACTCCTAATTTTGCCAATTGCAGAACCCATAAGCCCGCGCCAACTCTATTAGTCGCCCTGTCGCCCTTACCCCACCCGCCCCGCTGCTCACCTAAATAGTGTTCCTGATCTCACCCTTTATATAACGCCACCTGTCACCTGCAGTTATGAAGATAATAATGCGCCTACAAAGTATCGATTTCTAGGGTGCTTTGTATTAGGTTTTTTAATATCTGCCACTTTAGCCAACATCTGGCCCTGCACTAAAGAAAAAGTTGCCTTTCCCCGTAACAAAATACCCACACCCCAACATACCGACAACGAATAACCAGTTGCTATGGAGACAACATATCGATTTATGCACCATATGTCTTTCCCCTGAAACCCGTCACGTGTGCTGTCATCAGCCTCCCGATCGATATTTACTAAGGATAAAGAGGGAGGCTGTCCCGATCGATATTTACTAAGGATAAAGAACAGCTTCCCAGAGAAACCAAGCAGATTTGGCCGCCATCTTTTACTAAGAATAAAGAAGGAGGCTTAATTGAAATGATACCTCAAAACGACTCATACACTGCTAACGGAAAAAGTGGTTTATGATGATGGTGATGGTTGTTTATGATGATGGCTACCAACACCGCAAGGTATGGGAGATCTTTTGTGTCAGGAATAACTGAAAGCAAACGAGACAGAAGGTTATGCACGGACATGACTACCATCACTGCAAGATATGGGAAGTCATGTGTGTCAGAACTGATGGAAAATTTCGATACAAAAGGTTGTTGATTGTCATGTCTACCTACGCCACTTAGCATGGACTATAAGAAGAACTGGAAGTTGGTCTTCAGAGATAGACGGATAGACGCTGGCCTCACTGCCCAATGGTCTTGGGTTTCAAAAAAAGCATCTCATGTTTATACTTTATTATATGTTGATGTAACTTTAGTAATGTTCCTGTCGAGAGACCGCGAAAAATGCCAGGCAATAAATCATGTAATGTTTTGTTTTTGTCCACATTATTTAACTAAAAAAAAATGTTTGGTCTTGAGTGTCGAAACTTCAGGCTGCAGTCACAGGGAATGTATACAGAAAAGCAAATACCATATATGTAATCCAAAACTTTAATTTTGACATAAATACTTAAAGTTATCTCCCTTCCATTATACTCGAGATCTGAAGGTTGTCGGGTCGCTTTTACGGACATGATTCTTTTCACGAGTGCAATTTTTTGGGGTCCTTCTCTGGAAAGGGGGTGTTGGGGGGTGGGCAGTGCTGTCTTAACTCATGGGCTCACTTGGCATTTGCCTGGTAGGGGGGGGGGGAGAACCCCACGAGCACTGTAGCCACATGCCCGTCTGTGCACGTGCAGTGGCTTGCCGTAAATAAAAATGACATTCCTGACGGTGGCCGTTGTCGGGGCTGCAGCACAGTGGTTTGCCCAGGGGTCGATAAGGCTTTATTACGGCTATGAGGGGACAGAGGATGGGGTGGGAGGGTGTCGAACTTGCTGACACTAATCCTCTGTCTGCGGAGTCTTTTCACATCGTCGAGACTTTTGGAAATACCAACAGACACTTTGCCTCTAATGTCGTGGACACTTTAGATTGTGACCGGTACTGGAACTCTGAGCTGGCTGCTGAAGATGAGGACGGAGCATTCATGGGAATGCCCCGAGTGTTGTGATGTCAATTCTCGACTCAACTCTACTTCGTTACCTTCCTATTGCTCAGGATATTCTTTTCCTTGTGGTAGTTTTTGCCGATAAAGGCTGCGGCTGAAACGCCCATTTCTTCCCTGTGTGTGTGTGTGTGTGTGTGTGTGTGTGTGTGTGGGTGCGCATGCGAGCGTGTATGTGTGTGTGTGAGTATGTGTGTGTGTAGGGGTGCGCATGCGAGCGTGTATGTGTCTTTCCCCCTTTCATACGCTCAAAGTTCACTGGAGTAATGTCTGGAAACTAGACGGACTACAGCCTTCTTATCCCATATTATATTAGACTTTGACACACACACACTTACGGTACCTGGGTTGTCGCCGCAGGTGGAACTGCAAGGTTAGGTGCTACCCGGTGCGGGAAATTTCCCGTTATCCCTAGTAGCATTGAAAGGTCATGCTATGCCCGGTTCTTCCTCTTTTCTTCTTCTTCTTTTTCTTCTTCTTCTTCTTCTTCTTCTTCTTCTTCTTCTTCTTCTTCTTCTTCTTCTTCTTCTTCTTCTTCTTCTTCTTCTTCTTCTTCTTCTTCCTCTTCTTCTTCTTCATTCCCTCTTTTACAGCTTCGGGTGTCGATGGAGATATAAGGTTCTGCTACTTGCTCTTCGTGCCACCTCAACCACAGACACACTGTGCTGTTGTAGAGTTTCTCTGATATTATTATCTTTCCATGTTGTCTTGGTGCGTTCTTCGCACTTTGTTTCTTTTCGCATATGCCTTTTAAGGTATGGTATTTTGATTTTGATTGGCAAAATGCATCTAATATTTCATGGAATGACAAACGTTATAAGTAAAACATTACAGTTAAAGATGAGAATTTCGACACGTACAAAGAATGTATACAAAGGAACTAAGACAAAGATTCAGCCCGCCTTCGTCAGTTTTAAAGGAAACATTAAACACACTTCTCAAGGTGCAAGGTTTCCTGACTGTTTCAAGATGTTCACCGTCCTCTGCTGAGAATTGATAACAGGCTCTCGACTTTGTCTTGGACATCAATGTTTGTATGAATACTTACGGCACAGCATTGTTGGTCACCCAGTGACCCCTTTCACATTCAAGGTTGTCTGCGCTGCTTCGCTGCCATGTTGTCGTCTGCTCTTTCATGTGGCCAGATATGTTTTGCTGTTATGTTTCGAGGCATGATTTTCTATGAAAAATCTGTATTGCTGTATTTCTTTTCACAGAAGAATGCTTAAAAAATCTTTGACAGCCAAAAAAGAGTAAACCAATAGGTTTTGAAAGAGGCTAGAGTCCGAAGACAACAGAAGGAGACATTCATCATTTTTCAGCCATGTTATGAGAAGAGGGAAAATGGAACATGTTGGGACCACTGGAAAGATCTGTGGAAGGAGGGATAGAGGAAGACAAAGTAAGAAGATTCTTGACAGTCTTGTTGCATGGCATAGAGATGTGTCAGCACACGAACTGATACATACTGCAGGGGAACGGAGATTGTGGAGAGGCATGATCGCCCACGCCAGTCGGCAAGGCACCTGATGATGATGATAATGATGTTTTGTTGTAAGATGCTTTTCAGATTTAACTAGTTTACACACTTTCACTCCTACCCTCGCCACTCGACCAAATGCCAAATAGAATGATTATTTGTTCTCTCACGCTTGTAATTATACGTTTATTTTATGCATAATCGTAGAATCATTCAGTTTTTCTCATCCCTAACAAAAGTCACGCTAAACTTCATGTTTGTACTTTATGGACTGTGACCTTCTTTAGCCACGCCTCTTATACACACAATTTATGCTAACTAAATGGGAGACATCGCAGAAAACAAAGAACAGAGCAGGACACACCCGTAACCTTCATTAATGTCGACCAGCCCAACAAACTTGTGAATGAAAAGTGATCTACTCTATTTAGGGAGATAAATGTGAACCTAACCTAACACAGTATTATAGAGTGTCATTGTACTAGTCAACATGAAACACTCACGTTTCCGTCCGAATATGGGACGCAATGTTTCGGTATTTTAAAGCCCCACCCGGCTGTAATCGGGTTCCCTAACATAACCTAACGGTTGAACGGGGTTTCAGAGACTTGTTCCCTGGTGATCCTCATCCAAATGGTGGCATTTTGTTTCTCCGAATGTTGGTCGCTCGTTGTACAGCCCTGGTGGGGTGACACGATACACACAGGATCAACGTGAAAGTCTTTATGGCTTGCCGACACTAATCCTCTGTCTGCTGCCGTCTTTTCACATCGTCGAGCGCAACAAGAAGACTTTTGGAAATACCAACGGACACTTTCTCTCTAACGTCATGGACACTTTCTTGGCTCTGTGGCAGAAACGTGCAGTTTCCTAGTCCCAGAAATAATGTTTTGAACGGTACAGATTCCTGATTGCAGTCATTCAATCCAGCAGCTTTGATTCGACCATCGCGTAATGCTGAATACAAGTCTGTATAGTTAACCGTTCTGTCTTGGCTTGTTGAAATAATGACGATTGCATCTTTCTTCATTTTCTCTAAAGATGCTCTAGAAAAAAGTTCACTTGAGTTTTCACTTTGAGATCCACACACGCAGATGACATCAGACTTCTGCAGAAGCTCATCAAAGGAAACCAATCTACAGCCATCTTGTGATCTGTCTCCATTGGCAACCATGTTGTTAGTGTCTACGTCTGCAATCAGAACATTCGAGATGCCGATGTTTCTGAGAATTTTGGCAACTCTTTTGCCCAGTTTTGTTTGACCAAAGACTCCAAACCTCATCTTGGCAATCTTTTTCCAAGTTAAAGATTCGACATTTCTTGATTTCCCGTTGACCAACTGAAAAGAGAGCTCTTCCGTCTGTAGGCTCTTCAGGAAAAGATGCTTTGATTTATTCACCCATGGAAAGCTATCAGGGCCACTAGAAATGAGGTCAGGAGGTCGAATGTCACACAGTCTTAGTTGTTCTTCTTCTGAAATATGGCAGAGTACACAAACAATAAATGGTGAAGAAATTGAAAATGTCGCAAACTTTGAATATCTAGGCTCTATAATAAACAACAACGGAGACTGTTCGACAGGAATTAAAAGGAGGATGGACATAGCAATACAAAGATTGAACAGCCTTAAAAGTCTATGGTTTAGCACCAGCAAGGAGATAAAAATTAGAATTTTGAGAGCATGCATCTTCCCTGTGGCTACACACGGATGTGAGTCGTGGACTATCTCTCGGTCCTTAAGACAGAGAATTTTGAGCTGAAATGCTATAGAAAAATTCTCAGAATATCTTGGACAAAGAAGATGAGAAATATTGACATCTTAAAAGATCTGAACATCAAGGAAGATTGGCTAATAAACAGCATCCTTTCTCGAAAGCTGAAATACTTTGGTCATATCAAGCGCCACGACGGATTGGAAAAAATTATAACACAAGGCATTGTACCAGGAAGGAGGGGCAGGAGCCGACCAGCACGAAGATGGGCACAGGATATAAGTGACTCCTTGAGTGTGAAAGTTCATGAGGCGGGAGAGCTGGCGAGAGACCGAGACCGTGATGAGAGCGACGTTCTGCAAAGGACCTGCTACATGATGATGATGACACGTTATACTGTAGTGTAACGGCTAGACGTTCGACTAGGAATCTGAAGGGTCGTGGGTTCGGGTCCAAACAGAGCCGGACTTTTTTCTCTCTCAAAAATGACCTTGGCTCCCAGGTCGACCCAGGCTTGAGCGGGTACCAGGTACAGTCCAGGGAAGTAAAGGAGACCGGCGTGATGGGGACCACAGCACCTACCAAGTGCCGACCGGTCTATAAAATATAAATCTAGTCCTTTAGGCCCAATACGCCTGAAGAAAAGGGTCCTTTACTTTTACAGAAAAGGGTCCTTGTTTACTTTTAGTCACTTGATTTTTCAGTTAGTCTGTCTGTCAATCAGTCAGTCAGGGAGTCAGTCAGACAGTCAGGCAGGCAGTCAGCCAGTTCGTCAGTCACTCAGTCAGGCAGGCAGGCAAGCAGTCAGTCAGTCAGTCATCAAGTCAGTCAGTCTGTCAGGCAGTCAGTCAGTCACTCAGTCAGGCAGACAGTCAGTCAGTCAGTCAGGCAGGCAGTCAGTCAGTCACTCAGTCGGTCAGCCAGGCAGTCAAGCAGTCAGTCAGTCAGGCAGTCAGTCAGGAAGTCAGCAAGTCAGTCAGTCAGTCAGCAGTCTCAGCAAGTTGCAGTCAGGGACAGGAAAGAAGTCACGAAAGAAAGTCACTAACAGTCAGTCAGTAAGCAAGTCCTTTGCAGAACTTTGCTCCAAAAACAACCCCCCCCCCCCACCCCCCCCCCCCGGAGATGTTTTCTTGTATTGCTTTGAGAATGGCTGTGAATAAAAACAATAGATACCGAGAGACATTCAAAAGAGTGAAGAAACTGTGAATAAAACCAAAAGAGATTGGGTGAGAAACGACGTGATCACAAGAACTGTTGGAACAACACCTATCGTCAAATTTATTGAGAAACAAAGAATGAAATGGTTTGGCCATCTAATGAGAATGAAATCAACGATGCCAGCAGCAAGAGCGTACAACTTGGAAATCTAAACATCAAGAGGCAGGGGAAGACAGAGAAGAAGATGGATTGAAGGAGTCAATGACACATTGGGACAGCAGAACATCACGGCATATCAAGCGACTGAGCGCGCTCTGGCTCGGCTGCCGATCGTCTGCTGAACTTCGACGCCTAGCGGCATAAGCAGATACTGATAAAAGAAGAAGATGGTTTCTTGGCAAGTTTTGCAGACGGTAGATTTGCCATTGTTTTTCTTCTGGGCAGTGACTGGCCTTCTTGATTCAGGAAGTGACTTCAGATGTTTGTAGGTTTGTCTGATATTATCTCTCCACTTGTCTCGTCAGTCTGCTTTTTGATCTACACCCATTAAATTCTTTTGCAGCCTTTGTTTCGTGGACATCTTCACAATGTTCGCTATTTTCTTTGAGAATTTTACTTGGTGAGGTTCCAAATCTTTTCCACGGTTCGAATCTTCTACTACAATCTTCTTCCTCTCTTCGCATTCACCAGCTGTAAATTCTGATCTTTCGTCCACTTCTAGATTTTGCACTTGTTTCATAACTTAAGTATTGCGTGCACATCCCATTAAAAAGTCTGGCTAATTTGTAAGCCAACTGTTAATTTCCCCACATCTCAAGCAGATGCACTGAGACTTTCAAGTAGACACCTCTAATTAGTTGCCTTTTACGACATGCTTGTTCGGGAGGCAGTGGGTTTATTCTTCCCCACCCCAACCACATTCCGTGACCAAATAGGGCCCCAGAACCAACACAGGGAACTACTGTCTGAGCCCTGGAACCGAGACAGAGAACTACTGTCTGAGCCCTGGAACCTAGACAGGGAACTACTATCTGAGCCCTGGAACCTAGACAGGGAACTACTGTCTGAGCCCTGAAACCCAGACAGAGAACTACTATCTGAGCCCTGGAACACAGACAGGGAACTACTGTCTGAGCCCTGGAACCTAGACAGGGAACTACTGTCTGAAATCACGAGAACTTTTTTTTAAACTCTCCCGTCGAGAAAATAGAATTCTGGTACATGGAGAATTGTGTAATAATAATATATGTCTTTCTTCTTCATCATCATTTTCGCCTTCTTTACCTTCTACCATTCATTCAATAGTTTTAATCATTTTTCCTCTCTGTATTTTCTACATTTGTTTTGTTTCTCTTTTCTATTTGTCGTTCACACCTTTATTGGGTTCTTTATCAATATCATACTCCATATGACGTCACAGGACAGTCCAACATTTTAAAGGGTGGTAAGACTGGGTTTCCCTGATGCTTTTGACCCCCCAAAACTTCTAGAACTGGCCCTAACCCCAACCCACCTACATCCCACGAGAGAGTGCAGCCTAGGTCCCACGACTGCATGCAGCCTATCTTCTGCCCTCTGAAATATTAGACTGTCCTGTGACCTGTGGATTTCCTCTGTTTGGGGTAGGATATTAATAAAGCACCCTTACTGTCTAGATTCTATACCTGTTTGAGACTCTTTAATGGTCAGAAGCGCAAGGGAGATGGTCAGCTCGGCTAAGATCTCTGTAGGTCGGAGACAGCAAGTGACCACTTGGACTCCTCGTCTGTGACATTCTTCCACATCAATATGTTTGCTGTCAAACGATATGGTTGCCACCACACGCAACTGAGGACCTACAAAAAGGCAAACAAAAACACGTCAATATTAGAGTGATGTTCAAACCCAACCAGGACAGCACAATCAACACCCTGTGACACAAAGTGCACACCATCCGAATAAGAATCCCAAGGGTTGACATCCAAGAAACCCCATTCAACCGTTATATTATATTAGGGCTCCAGAGGTTTGAGGTTTGAACAACGAATCAACATCACGGCACAGGGTAGTAACCCATAAGTGCTCCGTTCTTCTTCTTACTCAAGTCTGAGTCCGAAGAAGCTCAGCACAGTGCACAGGCTCTGTAGCACCGGCGAGGATCATGAGGGACTTAGGTGGGTAAGGGTTAGGGCCAGTTCTAGATGTTTTGGGGTGGTTAAAAGCATCAGAAAAGCCGGGATACCCAGTTTTACCACCCTCTAAAATGTTGAACTATCATGTGACGGCATCTGGGGTAAGATATTAATAAAGCACCTCCTCTTCCTCTTCTTCGATATCAGAAACGCTGAGCATATCGGGTTGTCAGGCAATCGTGGCTCCGACTACACAGAAAACAAGTCGCTCCATTGTCGGTCCGTCCCTGGGTGCTTTATTAATATCCTACCCCAGATTACGCTCAGGGTACCCCGGGATGTCTCAGCACCCAGTTTGAGAACCGCTGCGTGACCGCATCGTTAGCCGGACCTGGTGACGTCAGCGGCCTGGCCTTTCAGCTTGAGCCGGTCGTGGTGCAGGTATAGAGTATCCCGTTTGCTACGAAGTCGAAACTACAATTACATGATTACAGAACGAAATAAGCTTATCGCTGCTACAGAATGAAGGAAACAGACAACTGTATATTACTCAAAAAGATAAATTCGTGCCTTACCTGCAGCGTCCAGCACTTCAGCGCTGATCCTATCACTTGGCAGACATAGGATTCCGTCCACTCCCACAACGTTGGCCAGGATTTCTCCCTTGGGAGCGACCAACTCGGAATCCCACTGTTTAACGTTGCAGACTTCTAGCAGAACACTCAGTCCTTCTTGGGGTATGCGTCTTGTAACGTACACCACAGGCCGTCTCACAATTCGGCAACTGGGATCACGAAGTGGGCTACCCTGGGTTTTGCAATAGGAACTGGGATTTGCCATAGTTTTGGACAATATTGTTTCCTCATGGGTTGCTAACATGATCGGAAGTTCCAGAATAAAGATCGCAGTCTGTGTGCACCGCTGTTGAAATATCTTTTATGGTATATGTGGTTACAGTAAAATCCGTTGAAATTGTAACAGTGGTACGAAACTAAATTCTATGCTGTTTCAAAATAAAGAGTGGCTTTGGTGCCCCCACTTCACTCTTGTCTTTGAGGCTGTTCTGTGGTGAGGTCGCAGTCTTGTCCAGTAATGGAACAGTAATGTTAAAGGTTCTGAAAAAAAAAAAAAAAGCATCGTCATCGTCATAATCAACATGAATCAGCAAGTCATGTATTCTTCTTCTTCTTCCTTGCGTTCGGTTTCGTATGAGATCAGACCATCAGGTGGCCTCTATGAAATCGCATATCAGAAGCAGATCCTTCATGGTTCCCCATAGCTTGCTCTACACACTTTGCTCTTGAGGCCGAGTGTCTCTTTTTTGTTTGTTTTTGAAGTTGTAGTTAGAGTGGGCAGGTCTGCAGAATGTGCTCAGG